GGCTCTGAACCCTAAAGGGTCGTGGGTTCGAGTCCCACCGCTGGCATGGTTGTTTGTCCCTTGGCGTTCACGTATACGTGTTGTCGCGGGAGACCTCGTGAGTCTGCTGACCTCATGGAAGACATTGTGGGTACCCGCGCAGTAAGTCGAAATCAACATCCTCTAAAGCTGGAATATCCCCCAGAAAAAAAAGTGATGGTAAATTACAGAAAAACCTCAGTGCACGCGTCCTGGATAGTTGCGTCCAACTGAGCGTGGCTGCGCGGTCCATTTGCCAGTGCGTGGGTGGGGAACACGGCAGCGGGGCCGCTGAAACAACTGCCGTGCGGACCGGAGCGTGAGCTGGCGCTCCATTTCGTGCGCGAGCTGCGTGTCGCGTCGCGCACATGAATAAGCGCGCGCGTGAGACGGGGCGGGGCGGCGGGTGCGCGAGGGGAGGAGCAGGGTGTGCGGGGCGGAGAGGCGGCGGGGCTGGTGCAGGCGAAGGCGGGGGACGGAGGGGCTGGATAGGGTGGGGGGCGGGGCGGGGATGAGCGGAATGGGAGCGGGGAGGAGTGGGATGTTGGGTGGGGCGGGCAGGGGTAGGCAGAGGGGGGCGGGGAGCTAGGAGTGGAGGGGGAAGCGGGGGCGCGGAGGGGACGGGGGGCTGGCGGGGCGGGGGGGGGACTGAGGCGGAGAGGCACGGGGCGGAGCGGGGAGGGGAGGACGGGGAGAAAGAGAGGCGGGCGAGGCGGCGAGGGGTGAGCGGGCAACAAGAGAATGGGATGTAAAGACGGCACCTTCATAAACTGACAATTAATTCGCACCCAGGTGCAAGAAATAACCCGAATTCGGGAAACTTCGTTCTTTTCTTTCACCAGTCCTATGCGTTTCTTGTGGATGGAATTCAATATGAGCTTGCCTCCACGAGCAAATGCAGGATTCACAAAAATTGAAAAAAAATTGTAAATTTCACTCTCTTTAGACTTATTTGCTTAATCCGCGCTTATAAGCTACGGCGTTTATAGACGAAAATACCAAAAACTACGAGAGACTAAATTCTCTACTCTTCTTTGTGAACCGAACATCTTCGAAGCTGCCAACCTTAAATTTGAATCTCAGCATGGCCAAAACACACAAACAAAGTGTAACAAGAAGCATTTTCGTGGTGCGATTATAACAACTGCCACAAAGGAACAGCTTGAACTTACAAATGGCGATTATTCTGAAATTCTATTTAGCACTCACTGCCTGGAAACTACTATTCCTTCACGCGTTGTTTGACTGAGTTAACGTAGTTTACTATGGACCGATTTTTGGACAAACGCTATTTGACCGAAGGTACCATCGGAGATAAACGCTACGTTACACGCCACGAGGGAACGCGGGAAGCGCGGGTGGCGCGGCGTTCGCGGGCGTGGCTGCGGCGGCGCGTGGGCGCGGTGGTGGCCGGCGGCGGTGGCCGGTCGGGGCGCGCGCGTGCGCGGCGGCGGGCGGTGGGCGGGGCGGCTGGCGGCGGTGGCCGGCGGTGCGTGGTTGGGCGGGGTGCGGCAGGCGGCGGTCGGCGGTGGTTGCGCAGTGGGGGCGGGTGCCGGCCGGTGCGCGTGCGCGACGCCGGCGGAGCGGCGGCGGTGGCGGCGGGTGGCGGTGGGGCGGCGGCGGGGCGGCGGAGGCGGCGGCGGCGGCGCCCGAGGAGAGAAAGTGTGCGGGCGGCACGCCTCTGCTCCGGCGCAGCCAACTGGACCAGCCGCTAGGCACCCGCCGGCGCCAGGGGGCCGGGGGCGGGGGACGAGTCGAAAGAAAAACAACAGAGAGAAAGAGAAGGAACTCCTAGATGCTGCTTTGTTCTGGTTGCTCTAGGCTTTATTCTTTATTCCGTACATTTCTCGTTTTAATAATTTTCTGCATCTGTCATAATCTCTAGCGTAGATTTAATTATTATTTGATAATTAAGAATTGCATAATTCGTAGTAAATATTTACATTTTTCCTGTTTGATGAGTTTTGTGTTTTGACTAATGGATATTAAATTTTGTGATAGTTAGAGGTGAGAAGATCAGCTGAAAGATTTTGATGAGCCATCTTCAATTCGCTGAGTAGTGAGTCACAGATGATTAAGGTAAAACGTTTCAAAATAGCTTTAGAAAAGGTTTTCTTTGCGTCTTGTGAACTATTTCGATTCTAAGTGTGTACATCAGTAATTTGTGCTTGAAAGGTGCTTGATACATTGATATACGAGCATTAAGTTTTTTTCTGAACTCCATTTGATAAGCTGGGTACAGATCGCCAATAAAATTGTTCATAAATAAAATTGATCATGGTGATGAAAAACTGCTAAGTTAATTACTCAAGAAATAACACCGTCACCCTATAAGTTTATTACAAGAAGGTAAAACGGGACATTTCTTTGCTCCTTGATAGAAGAAATCAGGTGTGTTCTTAAAACGAGTTGGAGAGAGTCGATATGACGTAAAGGGAAGACGTTTTTGAGATACGTAACAAAATCCTCAATCAAAAATTTCTCAAATACACATTTTATCTCTATTAATTCCAAACATGCACTCGAATTAACCGTGACTTGAAGAAATGGCGCTTAATGAAATGGAACAATGGTGTAACGAGAGGCAAAGAGCTTCCTGAAAAAGCCCTGAGTTGTGGTCAGACCTCTTCCTCTCCCTCTCTTCGTGCCATGATTCAAATCTCGGTCGATCCATGTGGAATTTGTGGTCAACAAAGCGGGTTCGCGGCACATTTTCGCGGGTTTCTCCCTCTGTCCGCCTCCCATTCATCCAGCACCTTTCATTTAAACATATTCAAGAGGTTTACATCTGGCGATGCTTCCCGGTTCCTTTCTTCCAGCCATCTCTATCCACTACATCTTCCACTATCAAATTTCTTGTTGCCATCGCAGTCAGTATTCTTTATTTCCATGAGGTTGTTTTAAAACATTTTCAATTTCCATTTTTTTATTTCTTCATTGCGTATGTAGTGTAAACGAGATATTCCGCAACTTCATGTCAAAAAATCCATTTGAATCGTCAAGAATCTCTTTTTGATTTTTGGGAAGGTTAGTTCTTATACTTCCGTGCCATATGTGACAATACTTAATATTATGGTACTGTATATATTTTTGTTTCCTTTTATAACTGGAAGTTCCACGTAATTGGATTTGGCATATTTATGACTTGTTTTCCCTGATTTATCTTATAGTTAATATCCTTATTCATTTAAAAACATCACTGTTACCAATCCTTAAAAATCATCTGTCCATTCTCAGTATGGCAACAAGGACAGGAACTGGCATCGCAATAAAGACAAATTGGAAAATAAATATCTGGAGCGCATGCTGAGAGAAGTGCAAATTCGAATCAAAAAATACAGTTAATAGTGAAGTCCAGTTTAAAATAATTTAAGAAGATATGAAGACATTTGAGAACTCTTTCTCAAGGTAATTCGAGAGAACATCATGAATTGTTCGTGCAAATGAAGAAAATACGAATACAAAAATGGTTTCTAAAATTTGCACATAAATTATAGGAAAAGTGAAATAATATTTCCGCAATGTGTGTTATTAGCCTCTAGTAATTCAAACACAATGCTTTTTAAACTGAGAGGGCCACCAAAAACTATACTAAAATGTAGTCGGTTTTTAAAACTTTTGTCACAGAGTTATGACACAAATGGATGATTATACTTGATTGATGATGTTTGGAAATTAAAATGTCATATTCCTGTTATGATGTCAAACAAGAGCATATACATCTATAAATAACGCGTTGGCGATGTCCGTAGTGACATTAATGATAGTGATGGCATTTTTAAACCAGACATCTTTCGTCCGTATGAGTAATGTCCATGTAGAAAACATTCTGCGAAAATGGAGATATTTGCAAAAGAAAGTCCAGCAGAGGATATGGTTGACGATGTCGTATGTTAACACAGTTGCTCTAACGGTACACGCACCAGCACCTGCGCCTAACAGCAGAGGCAGTGGACCTGCCGGCTGTAAACATGGCACCTGAGTCGGCTGAAAAGGTGACAGCTGCAATTCAGCCGTTGGCTATTTAACAGAGCCCGCGGCGGCAATAGAGGTGGGAGAGAAGGGAGAGGAGGAGGGGGCCACGTAAGAAGCGGAAGCGATGGCATCGACGGTTGCGATGGCGAAGGCGATAGCGATAACGATGGCGTTGACGAAGACGATGGCGAAGACGAAGACGATAGCGAAGTCGATGGCGAAGACGAAAACGATAGCGAAGACGATGACGACGATGACGACGAAGACGAACGCGAAGACGAAGACGAAGACGAGGATGAGCGCGAAGACGAAGACGAAGAGGAGGACGGAGACGGAGACGAAGGCGAAGGCGAAGGCGAAAACGAAGGCGAAGGCGAAGAAGACAAAGTCGAAGGCGAAAACGAAGGCGAAGGCGAAAGTGAAGGCGAAGACGAAGGCGAAGGCGAAAGTGAAGGCGAAGGCGAAGACGAAGGCGAAGGCGAAGAAGACAAAGTCGAAGGCGAAGGCGAAAGTGAAGGCAAAGGCGAAGACGAAGGCGAAGGCGAAGAAGACAAAGTCGAAGGTTAAAAGAAGGCGAAGGCAAAGACGAAGTCGAAGGCGAAAACGAAGACGAAGACGAAGACGAAGACGAAGACGATGACGATGAGGTCAGAGGCGAAGACGGCAAAGAAACCTAAGACGGTGGCGATGCTGACGGCATTAATGATAACAACAATGATGATCACTGCAATGTAGCTGGCGAGACGTGGTGGCGAGGTAGCGTCAGCAATGTCAGTGGCGGTGACGGTGTAGGGCGTGGTTTGAATGCGGTGTCGTTACGACGCCGGTTTATGTTCTGGACTGACCGAACAACGGCAGAAGTGCCTTCGGCACCGGCTGTAGCAGAGACTTTCGAGGCGCCAGAGCAGGGATCTGGGAGCGGCCGCCAGCGGCAAAAGTGGCGGAGGGGCCGGAGGCGACTAGCGGCGACGAGGAAGGCGACAGCGACGACGGAGGCAGCGCGGGCGATGGCGGCAGCAGTGGCGGCGGCGGCGGCCGCGGTGAAGTCAGTGGCGCCGGCGGCGGGTCCTATCGCGTCTTTGGCGGAGGTGGGAACTTGACAGCGGCGCCGTGGGCGGTTGCGGGTCGGGCGTAGCGCTGGTGGGAGGCTGGTGGGAGGGGGCGGGGGCGGCGGGGAAGGGAGCACCGCAGCCGCCGCGGACGAGGGCCGAGCGTGTGCGAGGTTCAGTCCACAAGCAGCCGACCACGCGCCCAGCGGCTCCGGGGCACCACTACGGGCGGAGACAGCAGGTGAGGCCTCCGGTTTACTTCCACGTTGAAAATTATTTTGGGAGGTGCACCACAATTGTTTAGCTAAATTAATACATACCATTGCTCCAACCAATCAACTAATAAATTGTTCATTTGATAATTTCGATTCATTCAACTGGAGATAATGTATACGACCTCTTATACTTATCCACGAGCAACAGAGTGTAGACTGGAAGTCAATTTCGTTCCTCTTCTTCTTCAAACGTGATATTTTTTTTGTCGTTTAGGGCAGTCTCAAAATAATGAACCGTTCTTTTGGTGTATGATTTGTAATTCATTCATATTATTTTAATGCCGTTTTAGGATTTTTGTTCGTATATCAAAAGAGCTCTCACTTTTATTTCCCCTTTTGAGTTTTCTGCTAATACGAGTAACACTCTGCACTTCTCTTTCTCTCTGTTTCCACAGCAATATCTTTTTCTCATGTTTACCTTTCATATATTCGAACAACTATTAATCAATAACTAGAAATGATTTCAAATGATGAACTACTTTTGTATAATTCCACTTGGTTTAAACATTTAATAACAAATTTAAGTACTGAGAATAAGAAGCACAAGCAACAACAAGATTCTTTGCAAATATTTTGGAAACATATTAAGAGAAATGAAATTTTAATGGATTCCTTTCATTAAGAAGATAATAGTAGAAAGAAATTTTAAGATAAATTACCTGCGAGAGCTAATATTTTCTTTTCTTTTTAATTGGTTGTCGTAGAAACCAGTGATACTTGCACAGACGATTGTGATAATTGCGAAAAAAATAGAACTGTCTTACTCTCCTCGAATTTACAGTATCTTATTTATCTTTGCTCTAAGAAAAGAAAATTTTTTGTACGCGTTTATGTGATCAAAATATAACGCGTTCTTTGCGATGGTGAACACCTGCAATCCACACATGCATCCAGATTTGTCCGTGATATTATAAAATATTGAATTATTGGTGACACCTTTGAACAATAAAAGGAGAGTGACAACATTAATGAATAAAAATTAGTATTGCTATTTTTTAGGAAAAAAAAATATACGGAAGTTACCGCAATCAAGGCAATATATGATCGCCACTTAGATTATATTGCATGCAAATGAAAATTCATTTATACATTTTAGATATCATAATTTAACAACGTTACTTCAAAGAAATTGAATATCACGAGAAATAATTTACAAAACGACATAATTATTAATAATATTCAAAAGAAATGAGTAGGGATATCAGATATCTCTTCGCAACTACTAACGGCATGAAATGCCACGCGACATCACAAGGATAAATAAAATGATTGAAGTATCACATAAATTAAATATTTTAATATATTACAATATTTAATATAAAATAAATTTTATATTACAAAAAATATACATTTTAAATAATAATAATATATTAAAATAACATTATATATAATTTTTTATTAATTGATTTCTAATAATTTATTTATGATTTTTATTCCAAGAAAAATGTTAATTAAACTTTCATTTCATCTACTTAGACAACGTATTCCTTCACCTAAGTAACTTAATTTAAAACAAGCGTAACCTAATTAAAACCCAGTTACATCCAGTTCCGCCTCGGAATAAAACGTGTTTGTTAGTGTTTACACCCTCTACATGCGATGTCATGAGCCGGCAAAAAGTATGGAATGTTCGCTTTATGTAACCGTCGTAAAATAGAATGTACCTTTATGTCCGTTAGACCTATAACAGTGGTAGCGACTGGAAACAGAATGACCTCGTGTAAAATTTAAAAGGAGAATGTGTTCATTTCACACTCGCAAACGACACCCGTTATTACAAGAAATATGACATGGCCGGAACGTCACATAAAAACCCACACACACACACAAAAGGCGTTGTGACGACGAGAGTCAACCCCCGACAACATGTATACACATTTGATTCCAACGGCATGTTATGAAAAGATAAATACTTGTTCGAACTACGTTCTTCTCCTCTCAATACCTCTTTGCAAGTCGCCGTAATTTCTAGGTCACACCATGATGGATGTAGCCCCGTTTGAGTTTTCTTGAATCTCGACAATAGCATTCTAAAAGTCTACTCAGATAAAATGCCATACAAATTTAATTACGTCATAAAATCTCTTTTACTTCTTTAGATAAAATAATTCACATTTTCACGAGGTCAAAACGAACCTTAAGTTATAAAATGAAATGGCGAAAAAAGTGTTTCTTATTTATACCAATCCTGCACGTCTATAAATGATGCGAATAAAACACAATTCCTTTCTCTTTCCCAGTTTTGTAGGTCTTTACGCCACCTATCTACAATAATTCTTCTTATATCTCTTATTTTACTCAACATCACATTATATTTTACATTAATTACTAATGATAAAATCATATAATGAAGTCATTATAAATGTTTAGATTCAGATTAACAGAAATTGAAAACTTTTAATGTTAGTTAAAATTGCAGAACGAATTTGTCGACTCCTACTTTTTTCTTAGCGCTTTTGCTTTGATAAGAATATGTACACCATACCAAAGAGTTTTTTTTCCCAGTAAGTAGAAGACTTACGAACGGTGGGCTATTATTTATGGGAAGCCTTAGTACTTATATGAGAAATATTTAAATATTCGCTGTGGGGAGCGAATTTCACATAGTCATTTGTAAGTCATGCGTCACGTAAGATTTTGTGCTAACAAAATAAATATTTTTTGATTAATGTCAATTTATTTGCATTTTCAAAATGTGGAAAAGATGCGTTGGTTATGGACAAAAAGTAAGAAGATGTTGACAATTTATTTTGGCAGGATTAATTTGGTCAACTTAGTGATGCTATTATATATATTTATCAACTTCATTTTTACAGATTCAGCTACATTTTAGGGACTCGTATTTCCTTTAGCTTCTCATCAAATTAAATAGTAAATGTTTCCCCTAATAAGAAAAATATTTTATATAAATATTGTACAGTTACGTACATTCAGGGGGGCACCTTAGGACACTGAGAAATCTTAACTCGACCATGTCTTGGTGTTTATTTGAGATTTTTCGGTGACGGTCACGAGTAAAATGGCACCATGTTTGCGCATATCTGTGGATGTCTTTTCATAAAACAAGGAGTTTTCTGAAAATTGTTCGTGAGGTAAGGTAAGGGGGATATGAGTCGTAACTTTAAACAGTTCGAGGCTTTTTGCAACTATTATCTTGATGGTGTTTGACATACTCGGCTGTTTACCCTATCAGAGGGAAGAGACCTATGAGTGTTTGCACTACTTTTTATTTGTGCGAATAGTTTTGTGTACTTACCAGCCTTAACTTGACATCGATGCTTGTGGTAAGTTTCAGCATTATTCTCACATGTTTGCGTGAGTTGTTGCGATGTAAACCTGTTGCACCACTCTCTTTTCGGACTTTCGTAATCCGTTTTTGGTGATTTGAATGTGTACCAAAAACTGAAATTCTTAGTAGACTTTCAGCACAACATGAGTGCAATTTTTTTTCCTTGGCAAAGAATTTATCAGCGGGTTGGCCTTTCCAAAGGCACTCACGGAGGATGTGAAGAGAGCAAGATGCCCAGCCTCATCCACTACCGATCCCAATATTTAGCAAGTGCATTGTTTTGACAGACAGCTGTTGTTTCTGGATAAATGGAAGTCGCGCCGAATGCGCGTTTTTCATGAAGAAGAAACACTTTTGTAGTAGTTACGTAAAAAAAAATTGAATGGGAATAATCCACATTCGTAATACGCTGTGGAAATGTTTGCCGTGTATGGATGCTTCATGATAATCGCGGAGGTCAAAGGCCGAAGTCTCGCCCGCGACTCGAAAACACGCGAGCTAAGCGTATTAAATTGACCGTAACAACCCGTCGCCTTCTTTAGCTACGTTGTAAACACTGAGAAACTACCATAACACGAATGACGTTATGAATCGCCACCCAATACTCCGCGCATTCCAGACCCGTTTCATTCGTCCATTTCTTTTTGTTTGTAAAAGAACACGCGGCCGGGGATTGGGCGTCTTAAAGAGGTGCGCAGAAGGGTTTGAATTTTTGTAAACATTTGCTCGCCGGGTTTTCCAGGACTTCTCGCGACTGCACTTCCCGACGTTGGAGAGCCTCTCCAGAGGGCCATGACTTCCGCGCGCGCGCTCGTGGCGCTCCTAGCGGCGACGGCGGCGCTCCTGGCGCCCGCGGCGCGAGCCTTCCCCGACGGCGCGCCCGTGGACGCGTGCGTGAAGGAGCGGCCTAACCAGCCCTACCACGGACAGGCGCGCCCGCAGCCGCCGCAGACCAACCCCTACAGCTTCGTCGCCACCGACTCCTACTACCAGCCGGGCTCCAAGATTGCAGGTGAGAGCGGATTTCCAGCGGGGAATGGATCGAACGCGTGTCGACCCAATTTGTTTCCTTGACAACTTCTTTTTTGTTGGAGATCGTGGTCGTAGGCAGGTGTGTTGAACGGGGAGGGGGCACTTGTAATTAAATAAGATTTTCCTGAGTAAATGTAGTAAATAATCAGAAGAAACATTTATCTTTTGTTAATTCCTACTGTTGTTCAGTTAAATCATAGTCGTGTAAGGAACAACAGCTCACACAATTAGCGATAATTAGACTATATTTCTAATTTACATGATTCAAAAAACATTTTCAACTTCTAACAATATTTACATTTCTAATTAATGTAAATATGTTTTTTGCTTTCAATACAAATCAAATATTTTGTTCACATAAATGTATTTCGTAGACATATTTTGTATGCTTAATTCATTATTTGTGCTTCGTAAGCAATTTCATGGCGAGTGGGAGGAGACCAATGGCAATTGATACCCCTTCATACCCAACTTCATGGTGAGTGCGAGGACGATTGGCAATTCATGCTCTGTATTGGCTAGATCAGTATTTCAGGGAAAATATTCAAAACACGAAACAATCACAGCACAAAATCTTTATATTCTTGTGTAAGCTTAAATGTTACATTATTAGAATAATGTAGGTTTTTTCTTGAAGATAATTGATTCATTATCCGTTCCCATTGGAAATAGTAGATTTTTTTTAAACAAAGAGTAATAAATTTCATTTTCAATTCCATTCCCAAAGAAATTGCGTACAAATGTCAAACTTATACAGATTTGAATATGGATGTGCGATTAGTTTGGTATTTTCGCTGCTTACGAGTATTACAAGTTTTTCTTTGAAGTTGGAATTAATGGAACATTTAGCCAATGAGGTCTCCATTGAGCACTTCTCACGCGTCGCTTATTTTATATGTATTGCAGTTTTGGAAACATTGGCATGAACCATGAACTCGTAGAGGAAAGGACGTACAAGATAAGCAATTGAAAATAAAAACGAAGTGTATAAACTACAGACGGTTTTATCCGAAGAAATCATTTTTATGCCTCAGTAAATCAGACAAATTTATCGAACAGGTAACTGCAGTACGGTTAAGACCTAATTTCCAATTCATAAATCGTCACGCGCACTCATGCACACGCGCGCACGCACACCCCTCTTGCACCCACCTGCTAGAAGAACGTGTATGTCTACCATTCCTTCAATGATTAATTCAACATGTATCCGATTCCAAGATAATCCAACTTCACCTCGCCATTTTACCCTTCCAAACTGGTAGCACGCGTGATCTACAGCGCTCCAGAAACGAAAGGCTGGTTGCAAAAGTGAGAGTTCAAGCATTTTCAACCTCTCGATCGAAGTAGTGCGTCGAAAGCGCGAGTTATCGGCACCATCGCTTCAAGAAGTGCCTGCCTACCGATCAAGCGGCGCTAAGTAGTCCGTCCAGATGCCGCGTCGCGGCGTGGCAAAAGCAAGTGAGCGAGTTTTCCACTCGCTGGAGAGAAGTTCCACTGGCTCCGCGGCATAGGGAGTGGGAGCCGGATCTCTCAACAGAGCCATCCAGAGCAAGACGACATAACCGACAGCTTTAAATCAATTGATTGCTCAGTGATATTCTCGGTTGTTACTGCAGTAAGTTCTAGGGTTCGAGATCCAACGGTAGCAGGCTTTTTTATACTAGCTGCATTGCTAGGTCTACTCCAGCTCCTGTCTAGAGGATGATTGTGGTGACCGGTTGCTTTGAGTTTTCCATGGTTTCTCCGGTCAACGCTATATGAAAGCCAGAGTAGCAGCCTAACAAATGGGATACAGATCGCGCGCGATCTTTCCTTCCTCTTCCTTGAACTATCCTCGCCCTTTACTTAAACACACTTATATACACTATATTACCAGGCAACTCGGGAGACCAGCCGGGGGCTTATCACGGCTGGGCCAGTAGCCAGCAGATGGGAGATATCTTGTTTGGGAAAACCCGTTAGTCGACTCGTAGGCCGACGACTGATCTCGCCATAGCAAGCGATAAAAATATGGACTGCATTTACGGGAATAACGAAATTAGCGGTTGACGTGCCCAGAAACACCAATCAACCATTCAATCTATCAATCCTATTTGGTAGCCCCTGGTTGGGCTCACAGCTTCTTCGGGGCGGTGCTAGATACTCATGGGAGTAGGGATGGTTTCGGCAGATTTTGAGTCGTACATAATTAGCCTCCGGTATCAATCTGGAAAGCTGGAAGCTCTCAGCTGGAGGAGCACTCCAGGCTCAGAAGCGAGACGTTCCATGAGAAGTGTTGAGTTACCTCTTATCAGGATACCAGCTTCACCGTGATTTAGTGGAATCCGAAAGGGCACAGTAGTACTAAATTCTGGGGATTTGCGAAAAAGTCCCCTCCTGGTATTAAGACACGTGCAACCGGGGCGGAATTGCACACGTGGGCACACATCTCCCAACATTGTTGTTTTTTAGGACAGACTGTCAGTCGTCCACCTCTGGGTTCCAAACTCGTCTATCCACGTGGGATTTATGGTGAACAAATGGGTTTTTTACGGTAGAATCTTTCGTAGTTCTTCGGTTCTTCCTGCCTTCCAATTCACCTTTGTTTTATCATAGTCCAAATAATGTATTCACATACCCACAAAAGCATTCATTTACTCATTCCGGGTAAAGTTACAAGTCTTGGACACTGGTGTAGTAATGAACTAAATCGTTCTTCTTGAAGGGCCAAATCCTAAAGGAATGTTGATGGACAACTTCTACAATCGCTCATAGCTACGCCTCATATTAGCTGCCCGATTACACGTCTGCCCCAAAGCACACAATGGGAAGATACACTCTTATAATCATTTTACGTTATCAGTAAAAAATGAAATTAGAACAAAGATATTGGCCGAACTTGAACAAAGGGGGAGGAGACGTGTAGTCACCATGGGAGTCCACACCCTGTAGTTTTTTCCCACCCACATTCATTGCGTAAGAAGGAACGACACACCAGGAAAGATCGCGAGAAATCTCATTCTTGGCGGTTTGGTAATAATTTGGTAAAATACGTCGTATCTCAAGTTAAACCTTCTTACCTCATAAGACCCCGATGACAACTAAAAGTATGAAACGTTGACATTTTTAATTACCAGTGTTAATTACCTATTTATGACATCGTCTCGAGATGCCATCAGAATTACATTGCGCGTTTGAAACGTGTATTTTAAAAGGGTATTAAATGAACATAAATAAGCTTACTTTCCTACATTAAACAATAAAAGACAAATAATTTACACACTTCGCACTTATATTAACTATTTTCTCTATCGTATTTCACTAATAGTGTGTAACACTAAAATGCATCACGCTAATGTGTAATGGATGCATTTTGAATATATATAGAGGTCAGTAATAGATTAGAGAAAAGCAAAAATATAAATATGAAGCACCAAATATTTGATATTCATGTGTTTTTTTCTAAAAATAGTATGTAAAGTAGATACACAAACTCTTAAGCCTATGTATTATGTACCATCATATTTGCAGCTTCGAATCTCGTAAATTTATATCCAATTTCCACAACACTCGTAATAACTTTAAAACAAAACGGCTCGGTGACAGTTGTTAAACGAGCAGACATTCATTCCAGCCTGACCAGAAACGCCTCCCATTTGCAGCAAAAATTCGAAACGCCGATGCCATCGGGGGAGTAGTGCGCTAAGTGCGGACGTTAAGTGGTTGGGCCGGATGCCACGGCGCCAGTCATGCAGCGAAAACCAGTGCGAGTGAGCAGCGGCCCAGTTTTCACTCGGCGGGCGAGCGCGCTCGTCCACTCGGCCGGCGGGCGAGCAGGTGCGGCCCGCGGAGCCCGTGGCCGCGCTGCGAAAGGCGGCTCTCGCAAGGTTGCAAGCACGGGCGACGAACCTGCTCGCTCATTCACGGCCGTGTTCCCCTGTTAATTGCTAGCAGTCTCGCAAAGCGGTGTTGAATCGAACGAAACAGTCATTTCATTTCCTTGAGAGTTCATATTTGCGTTGATCGAACAAAGATTTGCGTAATTTGTTTTCACGCATCTATTACGCCCCAGTCTATCAATATTTTGAACATGATTAGCAGAAATGTTCTGTATAAATATCCATATTTATTTTCAAAATTGTTGTTACACGTCCGTGTTCCCCGTTAATTGCTGGCAGTCTCGCAAAGCGTTGTTGAATCGAACGAAACAGTCATTTCATTTCCTTGAGAGTTCATATTTGGGTTGATCGAACAAAGATTTGCGTAATTTGTTTTCACGCATCACGCTGGGGCGTAAGCCCCAACCTATCAATATTTTGAACATGATTAGCATAAATTTTCTGTATAAATATCCATATTTATTTGCAAAATTGTTGTTACACATCTGTGTTCCCCCGTTAATTGCTGGCAGTCTCGCAAAGCGGTGTTGAATCGAACAAAACAGTCATTTCATTTCCTTGAGAGTTCATATTTGCGTTGATTGAAAAAATATTTGCGTAATTTTTTTCACGCATCTATTACGCCCCAGCCTATCAATATTTTGAACATGATTAGCAGAAATGTTCTGTATAAATATCCATATTTATTTTCAAAATTGTAGTTATTACTTATTTAAAAGTTTTTATTTCGTCAATACGATCCGCAAAAAAAGAGCAAGTGATGAGATCTTAAATTTGTTTGTGTAATTTACTATCCCTTTTTAGCGAAATAAATTATTTTTCAAAACACGAATTACAATATGTTGTGATTAAAGATACAGAAAGCCGTCAATAAAAGAAATAAAAATAGTCAAATATAAAAATTAGTCTTCATATCCCTGGTTATTTAAGTTTGACAATCTCTAGAATTTGCAGGAACAAACTACGTACACATAATCTTGCAATTAAAATTCTTTGTCTCAAACATATGGTTGCCACAGACATGAAGGAGTTTCGAGCAACGTACAAAACGGGGAGCTAAAAGATGTGGATTTCAGTGCTGGTTAAGATATGACTGTTGTAA